AATTATCAGAAGATATATTGTGTAATCCGAACTTGATTTCGATAAGTAATACAGTGGGATATATATATACTGCCCTAGAATAGATTTCCTGAGAGTCTTTATGATCATGTTTGAGATGAATTTTACTGACTGTTTACATCTCAAATTAACTCCAAAATCAGGATGTACCACTTGCCAAGCTAAGCCTAGATTTCCCTACTACAATCTCACAAAGATTCATACAATTAAAACCATGGACATACAGCTGGGCATTGGTTTACATTAATATTTTTTCCCCGTAACATGAGACTAATTTTAATCGTTTCATTCTTTTAATTAAATGTAATGTCAATTGTTATTGTATAATTGTGTTAAGTGGGGGCATGCTACAAGAGTCCTATCTCGTACCCAGGGGCAATGTGTCTGACACGGCCGGTTGTAGCAACTACTCCAAAGATCAAGATACATTAATCTTGATCTAAGGAGACACGAACGAACGATTGGTTTACACTCACCAGTCATGTTTCAAATGTGACTGCCTCCTCTTGGTAGGGTCAATGGACTCTAATGTGCATAACTAAATGTTTCCTCCTCTGCTGTTATTGACCATGACACATGAGCGTCTTTGCTAAATTAAGACGGGTATGACTAATATGAACCCCTCCCCACTGAAGTGAAACCTACATACCACATTCCTGTTTTTCAAAATGTTTTCAAAGAACAATCACAGACATAATAAGAAAACTAAAACAAAAGATTACCATCGATCAGAGTAAAATGTTGCCAGAAAAAGTCATTCAAGTACATATGGATTACTTAACATTTCCTTTTCCCCCCATCTACCGGTATTTATGATCAAGATCGAAAGTGATAGCCATAACTCATTCAGATTGTATAAAACCGTTGGTTATTTTTTTCTAGTGAAAAGACCCAGGGAAGTTAAGCTCATTCCTTTTCATTTTGAGGTGATTCACTCTAATCACAAAATTATTCATGATGAACCAAGACATAATGAAAATAGTAATTAATTTATGAAATATTACAAAAATAGCATTACTTTACTGAGAACCATGACAATTCTCATTAGAAATCATTGAGGTTTGTCAAAATTGATGAGAATGATGTAGGCCTATGTCAGCTGTCATCACTGAAATTCTTCAATTGCATGACAGCAAAGGCTTGTCTGAAAAGTATGCTAGCAGATGACCATTGTAAAATTAGTAGCCATTCTATTCACTTTTGTACATTCAATCCAGTCTGTCTACTTTTCAGGGAAGCTGACAACCTAACTGACAATCAATTGTGGCCTCTTTTTGATAAAAATAATCTCTATTTTTGGAGGTATCCCAAATACTCATCCATTCAACAATAGACACCCCTTGAAAATTAATCACCAAACAGTTTAATCTATGCAGGACAAGGATTATAACCCTGAACTTCATTATGACCAACGCTTGTTCCAAAAAAAAAATTGAACCCCACAAAAATTAATCCCCAAACTACATGCTCGATCAGCAAAATGAAAATCGTAACCCTGAACTTGCCAATATAGGCTCTGTATTGGAGTCAGGGAGAACTAACCGCTGGTATTAACATGTTTCAGACATCTGTCCAGATCATTGAAAGTCTGTGGTATGAGCAATGGTCGGCATGGCAACGGCCACATAGTCATTGATAATTGGATGAAAGAGGTTAGGGTCAATGGAAAATTGGTCATCTCCTGTACAACTCTCAATGGGTGGAAGACAAAAATTGGTTTGAACTTTCTACTGCTGTACGTAACCCTGTCCTTCCATTCCAAAGAAGATTTGAAGAGAAGGTCGAGTGATGGGAAAGGTGAAAAATAATTTGTGAGCTTTTTTCATTCTTTTTATGTTTTGGTGGAAGTTTATTATAGAAAAGTTGTCCCTGAAAATGATGGTTCTTCATATACTCTCATATTCAAAATATGACAAGAAATAGCTGAAGTGTTTGGACCCAACTTCATGCCACCTGTTCGTGTGGTCCCATACACATCTTTCTGTTTACTGTGAATGTGAATTTCAGCACAACTGGATTGATTCCTCATCATTTTGATAATTCTGAAACCTCAAAGTTAACACCACAATACTTTGTATTACATAATCTATGTTTTCCAATCACTTCTAGACAGTTTGTTTCACAATGAAAACTGCAAAGATTTGAAGCAGATACACTAACAAAAGTGCAAATAACGCATGATATCAATATGATTCAAATCAAATATATAACAGACATAGGCAACAGAATAGATATATTTCAATTATATCATTATCATAATAAATACAGTAATACACCCTTCATTCAATCATCATCAAAATAATGAATGCATCCCAACATTAAGGATCTCTCCAAATCTCTATACTACATACTGAGTATAAAATGATGAAACAAATCTGAAAAATTATACAAACGTAATAAGACTTCTGAGTTTGATTGTAGTTCGCCAGAGTTTGTCTGAATAAAGCGCCTTATAAATATTGTTTATTATTATTAATACTATGTCAATCAACCTTAACAATCCTGATGTTACTTAATGTGCTTGTAAATCAATTTGAAATCCCATTACCATGATTTTTGTAACAATAGTACTTTTCTTGGATTTCTGAAGAATTGAATAATGATCTCAGACAATGAGCAATATTAATTTCCGTCTAACCCACTCCAAGGATTTGCAATTGCTTTGAGAACAAACAAACTGGGCCAAGTGCTTCAAAACAGAGGGCACGTCAAAAGGGGAAGCCATACAGTGGACAGCCCCCCCCCCCAACATTAATTGAGGTCATGAAAAAGTATGATAACGAAACAAACAAAAAAACTGTAGTTTTCATTAGCATCAGATGGCAGACCAAAAGGCTTCGCACTTCAAAAGTGAATCGTGATCAATCAAAAACTTAATTACTGGAACCGCTTCTTTGTCGTGATACATTTTCCATGTTCAGAAATGAAATTATTGTGATACTTTTTGAAAATGTGAAATAATGGTAGGCTAGTTTTGAGGGATGTTATCTTTTTCATGGGCATGGTAAATCTTTTTAAGCTGTTTTTTTTTCTCATTCAAATAATACCATTCAAATAAAACCATTCAATACCAATAAAGTATTTTTCAGAAACATTTGATTTGAATGCCTTGGGAAGTAATGGTGTACCAATGACTCACAAACTGGAGCATATAACAAGGTTGCATTACCGGTATATAATCCCCTTCCATACCAATTTCTTGATATACCACCATAAAAGAAAATGTTATCATGTTGGTATAGAAGGTATCAGCATCATGATAACCTCAGCTATGTCTGGGATGTACTTGTGAAATTCTATTCTTCAATAAAAATAGGTACTTTGGAGTGCAGCAAAATAAAAGAGGTCTGTTTGAAAGAAAAAAAGAAAAAGAAATACCAATATAAGGTCAGCTGGACTGGTATTTTCAGTACTTTTAACCACAGACATTATCTGGTGACAAAATATTTGCTATACACAAGGTTTTTCTCAAAAGTGTTAAATAAAATTTGTGCTACACATTCTATGTAGCTGAGTCAGGTCATGTTGGAAAGGAAATAGATTTATTCTAAAAAAAGAGTATGTGCAAACAAAATATATATCAAAGAAATTAAAATAATAATTAACGCTACCCATCCAAATGTGATATTAAACATTGACCAAACATTTTCAAGACAGAATTAAATACACAGGAATGTTTAAAATGTTGGGGAAATGTACTGAAGGTTTCAAACCAAATTAAAAGCATAACCTTACATTATGTAAAGGAGAAGTACACCTACCATGAATTACTTTAGATATCTCATACTAACTGCCCTAACTTACTTTAAAATGTTTAAGTTTTTCTTTTAAATTAAGATATTAAGCAAAGAGTAGTTGGATTTTTTTCAGCTAAATCATTGATTGAAAGCTTTTATCAGTAATGATAACACATTTCTTTCACATCAGAATGAAACTAACAATTCAAACTTTCATTTTCACATCTGTATATATATGCTTATAAACAAAGGGAAGAATTTCCAACAACAAAAAATCACAAGCTCTGTACAATTTCATGTTTTTGAATCAAAGTCTTATGACAAATCACATGCTCTTGAGATGGGGTTGTAATTACCATTTAAACATTTTTGCCATATATATACATTTAGGATTCATAAAAATACAAGTCCTTCCTGTATTTGTGCTATTTATAATCCACAGATAAATGAAAATGAAAGGTAGTTGTTCCACTCTTGGCAGAATTGTGATTATCATCTACACTTTTTACTGTTTTATTTATTACTATACTTAAGAAAAATATAAAGTCAAAGATGTACGCATTCTATCTCTTCATAGAGAAATGAAAATGAAAATAAATATAACTACCCGGTATGTCTTTTTTTTTTGTAACTGACAAATGTTCAGTCTCTATTATAAAATGATGGCAAAAATAGATTTGAATGTTGCAGCTGCTCTCCACCAATAATCATAACAGGATAATAACCATTTATTGAAACAATGAAGAGAGAACCGCAAAGGATTAAACCATTTTTCCCTTCATGAATATGATATTCATTAAAGTAGTTTTTGTAGAAGAGAGCCTCTTGTTGGCTTTCATGCAGACATGATACTCTTGCCAAAAAAGAAAGACATTTTCCTGACAATTTTTGCTTACAGTACTGCATATAGAGTATGTTCACTTGTGACAAGTCTTGTAAGCCAAGCTAGAGCACTCTATTTGCTATTAGTTGGTGTGCACAAACAGACGTCAGCCAGTCAGACGGAGCAGGCAAGCCTTGCAGAGCTTACCTCATGGCACTGCAGCCAATCACATTAGGCTAATCAGACCAGGCCCCGCCCACTTCCATTCACCGGCCAGCACTCATTGGAATTGTGCACTCCAGTGCGTACAGGAAGTTTTCACTCGTACAGGATTGCACAGGGAATACGAGAGAGACAGACAGAGAGTGAAAGGGAGAGAGAAAGAGAGAGAGAGAGGGGGGGGGGGGGTTGCAGAGTAGTAGGGAACATGGATATAAGTAGTGGAGTTTGCCATCAGATCACTACAGCTTGCTAATAACCAGTAAAGCAGCAGGACTAGACTAAACTATCGTTGCCTTGCCTCAGCCTGGATCAAACAGCAGTATATCTACGCATGACGTGTTATTTCTGATTCAAGCCTGGTTGCTTCAATATTCTATTTCTGTGTTCTTTGCCAGTTTTCAGTGATATCGCTTAATTCTACCGAACAAAAAAGAGCTCTTACACCTAAGACAGTAACAGCAGCACCTGCGTTTGCAGTTTTGGATAGCGTTAGGCCCACAAAATTCACATAAAATGGTAAGTTTTGATTCATCTTTTTCCTAAGTTATCTGAATACCATTATAGATGTACATGCATTGATCTGGCAATTGTTGAAGCCTAAATTTGTCTTACTTCATAAATGGTAGCATTCATTGTTTAGTGTTTATACCTATCAACATTTAAAATATTTTGTAAAATAATGCTAAACACCTTTTACAACATTTTCTCTATCAATGCATCAAAGGATTGCAATTGATCCAGGGGTACTGCTAGGGATACCGGTATGACACCTCCCTCCAACTACAATTTCATCTTTTTCAAAACTTTTTTATTTCTTTCTTTCTTTCTTCTGTGCATATTTTTAAAATTCTCTAAGCCTTGTTACAGACGTTTTTTGCTTGATGGAAATGTTCATCTAAATTGAATTGTGAATTTCGGCAGAAATTCCCTTCTATTTAAAATGTCTAGGTGTGCCCCTGAATTAACGAATCAGATCCATTAGCATTCACTTAGATTAAAGATCAAATAGTAGTGCTTCATTCAATCCATCATATGTATGACAATTTTGAAACTGGTCATTAGCACTACTGTATTGACAGTCGCACATTACAGTTGCTAGGCATTAGGGACCAGCAAGTATTTAAAACGGAGCTAGTTAATTAATGTCCTTGAATTAGAAAGGGTAATGAGGAAAATATAATCGCTGTGAAATTTGTTCTGCATGATCATTGCTAACATTGCAGAACCTTTTCCAAATAATCTGTTTTCTAATGAAGCTTGTCAACACATTTTCATATTTTATATTGCAAAGAGTGGATGGCAGAATGTTGTTCTTGTATATTATGTATATTTTTCACATCACAAATGTTCCAATGTTAAAGGAATCGAAAATACCTTTCATGTTCAAAAGCTTGTCATCATCACAACTAAATGACATCTCTTGAAAGTATATAGAATGCTTTAAAACATACTCAGTGAATCTTGTGAAACTGCATCTAATTAAATAAAGAAAATTGGAAAAGTGTTAAATTAATCAAATCAAGATGAAACCCTGTTCATAAAATATCAGACTCAGTTCTAAAAACAGATAAAAATGAAGAGAGATGAGTAATATCGTCTCAAAGTCATAAGGAGGGGGAGGGGGAGGGGGTACTCTATACAAAATTAAAGTAAGTGTAATAAGTTGATGCCCTTGTGGCTATATATGGTGTATGGAAAGATAAAAGGTTATCTAGATGGCAGTGAAACAGACATGGAAGCACTTAAAGAAGATTTCAACCTCATGAAGATCTGTGCTGATAGTAAGAATGTTCATCGTTACACTCCTGTATTGAAACCATTTTCACAGATCTGCAAGAATCAAATTGAAAACAGTTTATTTTATTCTGGAAATATAAATCTTTAAAATTTTGAAGGAAAATAGCTTTGGTGAAATGTAAATCATGTTAATCTTACCCTTTTATACTAGTTCAAGAAGCATCTTAAAACTGCAGTAATCAATTTCTTACACCAAAGTGTTTTATCAATGGTATATTAAAGCTTCAAAGCATCTGATTATTGTAATAAAACATAGATTATGCATATTAATGATTTCTACAACATTGCAAGACATCTGTCTTACAGATCATGAAGAGTTTGTATGACAAATGATGCATAATAAAGCACCATTTTCCCATTTGATTATCTGGAGTGTGTTGAAGAAAAAAACAACTTTTAAAGGTATCATTCCAAGTGGAATTAATCAACATAAAATAACGGCCATTAATTGCAGTCATAGGAAAAAATGGGAGGTACTCTGTGCAGTCTGCCAGAGAGAAATTATTGAATATAAACGGAGAGGATGATAAGTGAAATTTCAAAATGGACGAGAGAATGATCATGACAGGGAAACTACTAAAGCAACATTTATCAATAGGAAGATAAAAAGCATGAAAAGTAAAAAGATGTTCCTGAAAATCTTGAAAAATTTGATAAGTTCGCAGCAATCTAAAGAAACTTTCTGATTGATTCATGGACTATATCAATTCAGGATGCCTGAAAATAAGCACACTATCTTACTGAAAGAGTCATTTTAACATGACAGGATGCTGTCAAAATAGAGATTTAAATGATAGTATACCCATGACATACATTCCCCTCTTTCTCTAAATCCTTCCCTTCTCCTTACCCCTGTTCTCCATTGAGCTTACACTTACAAGTAATCTACATGTGATCATGTCTATTTACATACCAATTCTCACATCAAGGAAGGCTCTAACTCAATAGTGTCCTGAGAAATTGTACATTAACCCTTCAGAAGTACTAATGGCTTCCAATTTGTCAAATTAACGATTCCCACAAACGGCTTTCATTTTTACACATAAAATTGACAGCAATAGAATATGGGAGCCTCTCATAGGAAGAAATATATCACTTCTTGTAAGACTTTTTGTTTAAACAGGCAGGTGTTATAATTAATCCTCTTCAGAAAACTTACGAACAGCAAGAAAGTATTTTTAAAATTCATACAGTTTTTATAAGGAAATTTTAAACAAAAAGAGAGAGCACTGAAGATTTAGAGTCCATTAAGAAGTTTGCACAACCAATTGATCTGACATCAGAGATCTTCTACACTGCCCATCTCTAGGCACTGAGGAAGCAAGACAAAATAAAGACTGTGATTGCACAGCAAACATCACTAGAGCAGTACCATAAATACAACAAGAAAATCAAATTCTCATTTCTCTTAATGTTTTTTCTCTCTCTCTGTTTCTGTTTCTGCAGGAGAAGCACATTATCTTTGCGTTAGTCATCCTGGTCTTGACCATCGTGGTGCCCAGTATGATCTTAGCGGCCCCGACCTTCCTAGAGAAGCTTATGGATGTCAACAACCCTGACCAAGATGACCAAGCCTTCGCGGCTGCAGTACAGAACCTGGACAAACGCGACGTAGGCCGAATTGACGATGACCAAGGTTTTGCGCTGTCCCAAGAGATCCGTGAGAGGAGGTCTTCAAGGATGGTCAACCGTTGCATGACGACCTGCTGGGTCTGCATTAAGGCCTTCCACAAAGACGCCATCCAGCTTGGGGAATGCTTCGCCGGTTGCTCAGGCAAACCCACCACCAAAATGCTCAACAACCCCCTTGAAGCACAGTCATGGTCAACATGCCAAAGGAACTTTCTCTCTGGGCACTGATGATTTAAAAAAGACTCTTTTCATGAAACAAACCTGGATGGCACTCTGATCTATGGCAGCTACATAAACTATTGCCATCCAATTATATACCTTTACTTTCCTAGTGACCCATAATATTTTCAAATAGTGTTGCTAAAATAAAGTGTGTGTGGTTATGTTTGCTAAACATTAATGCCTCAATCCATGCAAAAATCTATTGGACTTACAAGCCTACTTGTAAAATAGCAATGTCGTTCTATTTGCATGAAATAGCAGCATGTTTTCTAATTCTGCTTCCCTGTGGACAAAATAGGCATTCTTAGTAAGGGGCATTTATAAATGAAGTGTTGATGCACCAAATACCACATCACATCATCACTAACACAAGATAAAATGATTTCATTCATAATCCATCCCTTATATAAGGAGATGTTTCAAATAAAATTGTAAAATTTATTATTCATTATCAAATGTTTGTTGTGGGATTTTTAAACTGTATATACATTTATCCCTTGAAAAAGGCTATTACCTTGAAATGACATAAAATGAATAAATAAAGTACCATAATTATTGTCACAAAGATGTATTTTGGTTGTCTACCTACAAAAAAATAAATCACTATTTTGTTTAAAATGTAAATAGTGATCAGCTTTGATATTTATATGCTTAATATACCCGTTCCAAATATGATTCACTCTCCAAACCTTTCCATCTCGATAACAGAAAAATCTCAAGTGTGCAAAGCATCAACTTTTTAAAAATGATTTCTTAATTTTTTGTTTATAGAAGACCAGATGAGAAAGGCAGAGAGACAGGGTATACTTAAGAATAACAAGTACAGTCCAATTTTGTAAAGCCACAATTTAATTTGTCTGTCTGGTACAACCTTGCCTATGGAATTGCCCAAACGATTTACCCATATACTTTACATTTTTTCTGGTTTTAAATGCATTAGCTGTATAGAATTGAATGAAGATATATCTATTTATTATTGTATATAGTGTAAAAAGGTGAATTCTTAGTTGGTATTTTTATTTGTCCTTTGAAGTCATAACAGTGAATAATGAAAATTGCAAAGGAAACAAAAAGAATATTCATCTTCATAATTGACGAAGATGTCCTTCTGCCCAACACCCACACACCCATGTACCAAAAACTGCCAAGTCGGTAAAGCCTCCAATAATCAATCTCTCCTTTCAGTGATGTTATGTAGTACTAGTGGTAGAATTATGAATTTAAAAGCCACATGAATTGAAATGATATTCAGAGGATACCTTGCTAACTTTTGGATAAAAGCTGTATTCAAGATTTAAAAACAGAAACTGCACACATGCCTGCTTCCCTCTAGTGTTTATTCATGGTTAAAATGTTACTTGGAATGAGCCTCTGGCAAAGGATAAAAGAATGGTGAAAGAGATAGAAGAATATTAAAAAGGATAGAAGGATGGTGAAAAGGATAGAAGGATAGTGAAAAGAAAGGAGGCATGCACAATATGATGTGCAGATTTGTAGTGAGAGATGAGGAGAAGGGTGGGAGTAGAATGGTGGAGAGAATGAAGAGAAACAAGACGGAAGAGGGAGGGGAGAGACATTGAGAGGAATGGAGGGAGAGAGGGAGAGGGGGGGGGGGGGAGAGAGAGAGAGGGAGAGAGTTTGAAAGAAGGGGGGGGTGATAGAGAGTACAATGACATTGAGATGGGGAAAGAAAAGAGAAAGAGAAAGAAAGAGAGAGAGAGAAGGGGTGGGTGAGAGATATGATTACATGGGACAGACAAAGAGTATGAGAGACAGATGAAAATAGGAGTGATAAGGAGAGACAGAAAGGAAAAATGAAAGAGAAAAAAAAGGTGTGTTATGATGAAATGCAAAGAAAATTAAGAGATCATATAAAAGCTTTGTAGAGAAGACACATCATACAGAGAGAGAAAGAGAAAGAGAGCAAGAGAGAGAGAGAGAGAGAGAGAGAGGGGGGGGGGGAGGGAGGTGGTTAAAGTTACAAAGAGAGATATTAACCCTTTGCGAACTGGAACGGGATGGTTCCTGTATTAAACCTACAGGGAATATGACATTTCAGTACTTAGCAGGTCAATTGAGAATTAGAAGAAAATAAAAGTCATTGAAGAAGACAATAAACATAAAACCTTTGAAACTACAAATACATGCCATTGGCTGAACTCCATACCACTTCACGTTGCTGCGTTAAAGCCATCCTAGCTGTCTCTAGCAGACAATACATGTAATCACAGATTCCAAAGCAATATCATCTTTCATGCACGGTACACACAATATATCAAACTTCAGAGCCAACAAACAAATGCTCTGAAACAAATCTCAAGATTGCATCCTTGTATGTGTACTCAATGAATTGCACATCTCATCGAGGATGACAACTGAAAATGAGATTTGAAACTTGATAAAAAAACTTGTGTCTACTCGAGCAACAACCATGCCTAAACAGAGTGATAAGATATCCAAACACAAGTCACTACAGCACATAAGAATGTTTGCAAGATAAATTAAGGATGTTTTTGATATCCGATCACATTCCCCTAGCAGTGCCATATCATGCAAGTACTTCTTTGTTAATCAAGGAATTGTTTAGATACTACAAACTCTACAAAAATTGGCAACCTTGGTTTTATGAAACCAACTACCTTGCAGCGGAAAAATATTCTAGGGGTGTGTTTACTGTTTAGAGATTACTGTTTTTACAATATTCCTTTCAACAAGCATTACTAGAATAACTAGAATCCCCTTTTCCATCTTGAAAACAAATTATAACGGCCAAATAGAAGGTCAGAGCAGACCATGGGTAGCTAGAACAACCTAATATTAATTTTTAATCTAATAGCTTTGGAAATAATGAAAGCAAGTTTTTCTTCTTGAGGTTAAAGAAAATAGGATGATGAATAGTGAAGTATGATATTATGGAACATTGTTTGTATCGTGAAAAACAACAATTAAAAACTTATCTTGTGAAATCTCATCTGTAGTAATGTGATACAAGTATGTACACTTGATGGCATTATATCTATGTCAACCTCTTTTCCAGAAGAACTTGAAATAGCAAATAAAATTATTTAAAATTAGAAAAACTATCAATATTGAGAGGCATACTAACCCTTACAGTGCAACCAAGTCTACACATTTTTTTTTTTTTTTTTACCTCAAGCCTTCAATAAAATTGCTATTTCATAAATAATTCTTCATACAAACATAAGTTTACAATAACTGTCTTCGAAATTCATGAGCTCTTTTAGATTTTCATGGAAAAAGATTTTCCCTTGTGCAAGTCCATTACACACAGTACCCACAATATCACAATTTGAACAGATAAGCCAAAAACTGCAATAAAATGGCTAAAAACCAATTGTTCATGCTACAGCTCTTGCAACAGGAATATCGCCTTTTTCTTTTTCGTCAAACAAATTTGATGCTGACAAAAAAGTATCGCACTTTCAGATAATTTACTCAAAATGAAACTGCACACAGGAGTACTCATGAGTACGGATGCGATTCCCTATCGGGGGCTCTAAAAATCCTTTCAACAATCTCAAACTTGTGAGTCAATAGCCTGCTATTTTAGGTGCATGAACATTTACTGATTATGACACAGTGATATTAAATAATGCAGTAATACTTTGAACGTAACTGACGCAACAGGTTCATGAAGTTGTTGACCCATTTCAAATTTACTTGTTTGCTCACAAACTGGGGGAGGGGAGGGGAGAGGACAAAATGATGGCAAACACAAAGCTTTGTTAAGTAATACCTCAAGCTCTAGGTAATCCAATACTTTAAAGTTGAGTCAATGGCATTTGCTTAAATATGGGTAGAATGATAAAAGCTGAAGGTTGGATTTAGACTGCCTCTGGTATTTCATCTCTTTTTGTACAGGAAAACATCTTCTTGAGTATGTTTATTTTGAACATCAATATCTAACATTCTATGAAATATGTTATAGGAATGAATGAAAAATGTGCACTGAGGATGAATACATGTAACTTCATATTATGTTTAGTAAATTTTGGCCCTCATATTTACATTCTGATAACAATATTCATTATGGAAGAGATTTCTATTACAGAGATTTTATATGAGGGAATTGGCATCAAGGATATATCTTTTCTTCTTTTATTACTCTTAATTTTTTTTTTTCTCTATCTCTGTTTTTTCTCTCTTTCTTTTTCTCACTAGCTTTGATTTTCTTTTGACTTTGATGCAATCTTGCATTATGCTTTGAATTGGATAACATGACAATGCATACCCCCTCCCCCACGAACAACAATCTTACAAGATAATAACGCCTTACAATTACTCTGAAAAACTTCCGCAAGGACAACTACCCCCACAAGAAAACAATAACCATCCAATTTGACGTCTAAAGAGGTAGTTGTCTGAAATTTAAAGGGGTTTGTTTTCTATATTAGTTGTCCAAGAGAAGTAGTTGTCCTGGGTTGCTGTCTTATGGTAGTTATCCTAGTAAATGTTGGTTCCTAGGGGTAGTTGTCCTAGTGGGGTAGTTGTCCTAGGGAGATTTGTCCTAGGGAGTAGTTGTCTTATGGGTAGCTATCCGATAGTGAGGTACGGTAGTTTTCCTAGGGGCAGTTGTCCCAGGGAGAAAATTGTGCTTGGGAGAGTTGGACTAGGGAGTAGTTGTCCTATGGGTAGCTTTCTGATAGTGAGGTAGTTCTCGTGTCCTAGAGGTACAGTAGTTCTGTATTATAGGGAGAAGGTTGTGCTGGGGATAGCTGTCTTATAGTGGGTTGTTTTCCACTGGAGGTAATTGTTCTATGGAGATTGTTTTCCTAATCTATATGAATGCACAGACTTAAAAAATAAAATTCATAGAAAATTAGCTTTATACTGCACACAAATTTAAATATTTGCACACTCAAGTCTGGAAAAATGCTCAGGCGTTCGTATTCAATCTCATCATCATGATTATAACATCCATCCCTGGCTTTATAACTTCTACTTGATTTCATTTCAATACCACCACCGATATATTTATAAAAAAGGTAATTACAGACCATTGTGCATGATGAGTTTTGATGAATGCTTGCTGTCTGTAACCATCTTAATTGGGTGCATGATGGTAATTAATGGGTCTGAACTGTATGTGGGTCAAACAAATATTGCTAAATACTCTACTCTCACAAAACACTACAGGTGAACTGTCTGCCTCTTTGGGGGGGGGGGGGGGAGGGGGGAGTACTAAATGAAGGAATAAATAAAGAGGTTGTTTAGTAAAGGGGAACATTAGGGTTTGCGAAATCATTTACTTTGCTAGAAAGAAAATGGGAGTAAATAAATTAGGGAAAAAGTAATGTAATCCTAGCCATTCTTTCTATCATTATTACAAAAAGAGATAATTAAACCATAGAATACTAAGCATGAAATAACTTTGGACAAGAATCTAGGAAAAGGCATGTCATATCATAATTCAATTGTATCAGATGGGGTAAAATATCACTACCTGATGCAAAAGCGATTTGAAGAATGTATTAAATGAAACCGTGAATGTTTTGAATGCATTTTGACCTTCAAATCTTAGTGTCGAGCGTGACATTCTATAAAAAACGATGCACAATTAATTAACACAATGAGTCCTTCCCTTAATTTCAGAGGATAGGTAAAATATTCTTACACTCTTGAGAGGTCAAATATCTTTTTTGAATCCTCAATCATCACTTTTCATAAATGCGCATCCCCCCTTCTCTAAAAATGAATTATCTGATTATTTGACTCATATATTTCCCGATCTGAATAACGTTTCATCTATATTTCCCCTTGTATTTGGCATTACCCAGAAAGATTCCTATCAATGGTAGGTGGAAGCTGTGTCAATTTGAAATTAAAAAGGGTAATGATCCATGACAAATTATTATAGACATAACCTCTTTTTTCCATCCAGCAAATTTGAGCAGTTATGGATGGAAGAATTATATCAAGTGCAAGCAAACCAAGGCCACTTTAATACAGCGCTTTCAGTGAGAGCAGAGACGCATCCCATGTATTAATCAAGAAGCTTTACTAATTAATTTGATTAAGGTCATAATAAACCTACAAAATAATGAAACATTATCAAAATAAAAGGTTACACAAGAAGAAAAATTCCTCTATGATTGGAGACATTGTTGACATAATCTTTCTTTGTTCTATTACAGCCTCATATTAAATGAACATGAATCAAAGTTGTTTGCTAGTTGAGGATAATTTGATTATTAAATTGGCCTTTGAGCACTAACTGACATCCTTCAAAATTAATTTTTGTTTTCCCTTTCTTGTAAACTCTATTTTTTGCAACAAATACTCCATGGTCAATATC